AAGTTTACCTGGGCTGATCTAGGACTGGACCCACCAGCAGCACCATGGTCTCTCTTAGCAGAGCACAAAGGGTTAGTTTGTTTATGACTCAGGTTAATTTTTTAATTCTGTCTTTGCTATATGACGTTCTTGTCTCCCACCAAAGCCTAATAATGGTGTGACACTATGGAGAAGGGCTGGGGAGCACTTATCCTCTGGTGTGAATTCACGACAGCTCCTCCTTCCCTCTGACACACCAGCTTAAGCGTGGCTCCTTCCCTTTCAGGCCTCTGCTAATCCTCTGCCTTCACACTCACTCTGCTCCCATCTCAACCCATCTGCCAGGAGCAGGGTCCCTGTGACAGACGCTCCTACCTCCCCGACTGCTCTCACACGCTTGACTCTTTGCACAAGGACCCCAACCTAAACTTCGTTTAATTTTAACTGATGCTCCTTCCTGCGCTGCCGCGCCAGAGCCCCTCTGGAGCTGACGCTTTCAGAACAGCTGGACTGGAAAGAGGTGAGGTGAGGGGGAAGGGAAGGAAAGAGGAGACAGGAAAAATAAAACAAATACAATTGCTTTTTGTCTCTAAACCCCTCTTTTTAACCCAACGAGCGTCTCATCCAATGAAGCATGATGAGCATGAAGTGTTATATAAAGAAGATAATTATAAAGGGATTTAATGCTTGGCAGGCTCGTATCGCAAGGTTTATAGCGGAGGTAGCATACTCACCTAAACAGCCTTGTGTCCGGGTTTGCTATTATGCGGGCAGCACGGCTGGGGCCAAGGAAAAAAAAATTTTTTTTAAAAAAAAAAAAAAAAAAAAAAAAAAGAGCACAGCCCCCTTCCCACCGAGGATGGCAGCTCCAGTCCCACCTCCTTCCACTTCTGTCCCATCCCTGATTAATGATGTTGTCTGCCTGATTTATGACCCACCTCAACAGATTAGAGTTTCCCTCTTCAACCTCCCCCTCCCTTTCCCCCCCCCCCCAGAAGGCACAGCCACACTCCGCTGGAAATATTAGAGAATTATTAAATAAACATTCATACGTCATGTCTCTTCCCATACTGAGCTCATCGTAGTCAACGCTCAGCGGCCGGGTCCTGTTTGCTTTGGGGCTGACACCAAACAGCTGGAGTGATTCATGGAGAGGCTGGCTACAATGGTCTGTGCCATATATCATGCTCGCAGCGCTCCCTGCCCCGGCGGAGATAAACTGATCAACCACAACGGGCTGGAATGAATTTATGACAACACAAAATTGAGGAAAACAAATGGGAGGTGACCCAGTGGGCCACTAACCCAGACTCTCTCGCTGGCCTGCAATCTAGTCTGGTGGCAGAAAGCAAAATTGAACATTGGCACTCTGAATTAAGATGCTGGCTTTTAACCCCGGGGAACCTTGGTTTCAAAATGGCACCAGACCCTCGCAGGCGGCATCTCAGGAGGGAGAAGGGAGGAAGACTTTTTGCGGGGAAGGTGCTTTTTGCAGCTCTCCGTGCACGATAGTGCTTCAGCTGAGAGTATGACATTGGCAGGAGTCGGGGAGGATGCCTAGGCAATTAGGGACCGGCTGCTCTCTCCAAGCAAAGCTGCACCTTGAGTAGAGGTAAAAGAGCATCACGCCGGCTGAGCTCTGCCCGTCTGCTGAAGACCCCAGCCACCGCAAAGGCTGGGGTGAGCCTTCAGCACGCCAGGGTGTCTCCCAGACACCTCACGTTGGCGAGATTAGAAATGCTCAGCAGGGCTGAGACACCCTGTAGCACTAAGAAGGAGAGGTGGGACCAGCACCACGTCTCTTATTACCTGTGGCTGCCATCTGAAGTTCAACACAACGCAGATGAGGTCAATGGTGAGAAACCTGCCCGAGCTATCGACGACCTGGCACGGCTGGGAAGGAAAGGTGGGACCAGTACCACCTCTCATTACCTGTGGCTGCCATCTGAAGTTCAACACAACACAGATGAGGTCAACCTGCCCAAGCTATTGATGAGCTGGCATGGTACAAGGAGCGGGGCAACAAACACAGACTTGCCCTAAACCCCATCTGGTCATTCTACATGCAAAAGACTTCCACAAAAACCTGAGTTTAGATTCAATCAACTTGCTCAAGCAAAGTGCTTCAGCTGCGTGCCAAGAGGAGGACAGCCTGCTGTACTGTATTAACAGATTAAAAAACAAACAAACCAACCCACACCACTCTCCTTGCCTAGACTTATTTTTGGGAGAGGGGAGGGGGAAGGAACGTCTTTCTTATGAGAGAAGGATCAATACACGGATCGCTGCTAACTCTATTAGCTGGTGCTCTAAACAGAGAGCACGGCTGACACAGGTGGTAAGCCATGTGCTTCTGGACACTTTTAAAAATGCTAATCAGATGCTACACAGGGTTTAACATGCCAATCAATAGCACTCAGATTTAAAGGCAAAAATTAAAGTTACAAACAATGGAGTAAAGTGATGCTGCCAAAAACTTCCTGTAAGCGCCACCCAAAACAAGAAAAATGAAACCAATTTAGCTCCAGATTAAGAAACAGGAACTAGAGATGAATCAATTTAGCCTGTTGGGCTGGGTCGCCATATATCATGGCTCAGCAGTGGAGTGGGAAGCAGCCAGACAGTGTGAAACCCTTCCCCCTCCTTTTCTGTAGGCTTCTAGCTCTGATCCCTGTTATCAATTAATTTAACAGAACCCCTCTACACAGACAAGCACACAGAGCATTCAGACTCCTTAAATGGCAGGACAGAAACTATTTATCATGCACAAATCTCAAAGGAAAGAAGGAGGGGATGAGTGGGGGAGAAAGCAGCTAGGAATTCTCCACCTGAAACACCATCTTGTCTTCTGAACCTCGGTGAAATAAAGCGCCTTAAATAAAAAGCTCTCCCTGCTACTTTCAAAAAATCAACATTATTGGAAAGACTCAGCAAGACACTTAAGGCTTTTCTTGTAATTTCTATTGGCTTTTGCTGACTTTTCGCACCTTTTGCAGAACTGAAGCTTTAGCGGGGCAAGGTTATTGCAGAGCAAGGTGTGGGTGCATACATGTGCATGCACACACACACACACACGCTCCCCACACTTCACAGCAGCGTTAGCATGAGTGTTGTTTGGAAAAGATTCTGGGATCCTTCAAAAGGTGCTAGCTAAAGCCTCTTTGATCAGATTATTAAAGCTTTGTCAATTTTATCACTTGAGCTCAAGTGTTCTGGAAAATGTCAAATCCTTTCAGCTCCTGCAGTTTAAAGATTTTCAATAGGAGCGGATCTGGGAGGGTGGAGGGCTGCTGGGCTGACAGGCAGGAGGCCCAAAAGGAAGCCAAGCAGCGGCTGAGACAGAGGCTGACAGATTAGGCCAGCAGGGATGAGTCCTAGCCACCAAGACAGCACGCAACGGTTGGCTCACTCTAAGGACAAAGCTGCTTCTGCACTGACCTGTGAGCTCCCAAACTCGGTGCTCCTTGGCCAAAATCTGCTCACCGAGAAGCATCGAACAGCAGACAGCCCACGTTTGGTACATGCTAATAAAAAGCCTTGTAAAAAGGAAAGTGCCGAGACAGCAAAGCAGTGTTAAGTTTCCTCTGCAGCAGGGAGTTTCCCCAGTTAACCCCTAACTGTGAACATACACTTTGTCAGGCTGCCTGAACTGTCAGAGATCCCAAAACATGCCAGGGACACAACCTCTCAAGTCAGGAACAGGGGCAGGAGGAGAACAAACTAGATTAAAAAAAAAAAACTTTTTTAGCTTAACGCTACTACCAGACTTTTTCCCATCCCACATTATCAATGGACCTCATCCCCAAAATGTAAATGCCATCTGTTTAAAATCCACAATTACTTCATTGCTTCCACCTCATTCAAGCTGTTTTGTCTCTCACTTGATCTTGGGGCAACATTTTACGTCTGGCAATAATCAACTTAAAACACTGCCCCATCCCAATTAATGCAGTCCATGGCAGCAGTGAAGGGCCTGTAGTTCTAGGCTTGGATTGGCAAATCTGCCTGAGCAGTAAGTCACCCTAGCAGCGTGTGGAAGGATGCTGAGGATAGAGGTTGTTACTCAGTGTTACACAGTGCAGATAAAACCATTTGTTTTTACCTGGGACTTAGGCTGCAGGATATCCAGGGAGCAAAAATGGACAGGAAAGGAGATGGCCAGGAGACCCTGCACTATTGTATATTCAAACACTGGGACTTAAACTCCTGAATCAACTGGAAGGGCTGCAGGTAAAAAACTCAGGAACTGATACATTATTTCTGTTAGCAACCATACAAAGGTAAAATCTGGATCTTAAGGGAAAAAGAAATTCTCTCAGTGAGGCTTCTGCCAAGTTATGCGGCTGCTGGAGTTCCCTTTTGCTGGGGAGATGGAGGGTGGAACACACAGGTACCGTGGAGAAAACAGAATAGACCATGTGAAGGACTGCCCTCAAAACCCAAGATGCAATGATAAGGTAACTTCTCCAGTAAAGGCAGGATCCCACGATACATTGATAGCAGAAATATGGCAGGGGGAATTTAAAAAAAAAAAAAAAAAAAATCAAAGTACATCTTGCAAGCCAATTGCTTTTGTCAAGTTAAAGTGGGTTTGAATCTTCTCCTCCTGCCCAAAGTCCCAGCTGTAGTCTAGGCTGTTATGCACCACACAACATATTTGAAAACCCACCATAACTAAATATGGTGGAAAGCATGGATATATCTATTTATATATTTTAAAAGAAGGCAATTTGCAGTGGAGAAGCCCTTTGGAAGCTGTACTCAATTCCTTGTCACTGGGTACCTGCCCACGCAGATATCTGGGGGAGAACTCCTCACAGGCTCTCTGTGGACACAGCAGCAGCAAGTCAGGACACCAATAGCTCCAAGTTCAGGCTTCATGTTGGAGCACAACTTCCCTTCTCAGTGGTAAAAGCTTCAAATATACCTACCCTCAAACCAGCACTGCTTCTAGGAACACTACATGGGACACTACGGTTCCTTAAAACAAGAAAAATGAAAGCTATCCACATTACACTCACTTTTCAATGTCACTGTTCTTACAGGTCTTCTGCATGGTCTCCTGTTTACTGCTTTCACCATTACTCGTTGAGGGCATTTCTGTTGAGGGAAGAACAGACAAATTAGTAAGAGAATATTTGATCACTGCAATGAAATAGTCTGAGCAAGTTACAGTTTCAGAAGCAGAGGACCCCGATGAGTCATCTTCATGCCAATTCTTGGAAAGAGAGAGAAGAGACCGATGCTACGCGTCCCTATCTGGCAGGAGGGCCCTCTCTCTGTACAGCACGCTTCTATGATTCGGGGCTGAAGATACTGACTGACCCTTGCAGATGTTCCAGTTGTTTAAGTCAGGATTTAATTCAGAAAGGTATGATGCAGCTGCCACGCCAAAGTATACTTCTAGAAAGGTGGATATGGAGCAAATCCACCCAGCCCAGACCCTGCTCTCAGCTTCTCCCTTTTCCTGAGACCCCTCAGACACAGACAGAGAGAAAGATATATGCCAGGTAACTAGTACGACAGAACAGTCTGCTCATAGCTCTCCTCTACCAGCAGCCCCATGGCCTCTCCCAGCACTGGGGGGGATGTGAGATACCAGTCGGAGATGAGCCAGATGAACTGTCCTAGGGCCAGCCCCTGGGCTGGTTCAGCACTGTGGCTTCAGGTAAAAGGTATGAAGAAAACAGCTCGTAGCAAGTGCCATCAGGGCTGCTTCCTCATCATCTTTGTGGCTGTAGTTACCGAAGCTGAACACACCTACAAGCGAGTGCTCCTACATCACAGAAAATAAATGTGATTGCCTATCCCACAGAAGAAAATGCCTGCAATAGATATCCTATGTCCTCCATTTAATCATCATGCCCTTGGCAAAACTGGTTCTACCCACCGCCCCCCCGCACTGGCAAGCAGTTATGTCTTGTAGGTACTTTCAAGGCTGGGAATCAAATGCCCAAAGCATTACAGTAACAGAACAGGGAACAAAATCACTGGGACAAGTCTCTTCAGGTCGCTGAGCTTCAGTTCCCTTCCTAAGGGAGCTGACGCAGCACTGCCCAGCTCTGGAAATGGATTTGGCATCTACAGCTGGAAAGCGCCAGGTTTTATTATTCTCATATTTCCACTAGGTTGCTGCTTACACTTCCAGTGCTTCTGGCATTAAATAAAAAAACCCAGCAGTCGAATGGGTTTAACACCCTCCCCCCCAATGCTATGAGCTTTCAAATAATGCATGCAAAGGTACAATTTCACATTTACTCGTTTGCTCTGGAGTCTCAACTACAGGTCATGAAGTAGGACAGATCCTAGAGTTCCCACTCTAAAGGTGCAGGTTCTTCTTGCCATACAGAGGCCAGCAAGGACAAGACCTACCCAACAGATCATGATACAAGTCTCTAGCATACCCTCTTGAAGAAGGGGAGACGATAAGAAAGCAGTTGAAAAAACCCCAAGCAACAGGTGCCTGCACAGTTTAAACCCCCAGCAGCTGAACACCACCATCGCATAGTCAAGCTCTGATGGCTCCCTCTGTGATACAGCAGTTTGCCTTTTAGTGACATGACAGCAAGTCAATCCAACCCCTATGTCTTATCACCACACCAGTTAAGGCTGCATTTTTGGGAACTCCCTTGGCTGTCACTGACTACAGTTAATTGTGCTGTAAAGTTTCAAAAAGATAGTGTCATTGTACGTGCATACATATCTGCTGGTACTGTGCAAGAGCATTTGTAACTACCATTTGCCTAATTACTGGCAATCAGAAGATAGGGGATATCTATCTGCCCTCCAGTAGCATACAAATTAATAATTTACAAGTTCACACTCACCGTCACTGGCCCATTTAGAAAACTCCGGTGTTATTCGAGTACTGGGTGTGCCACCACTAAAAGAGAAAAGGGCAGAATGCTAAAAGTTGTATATGGAAAATTTTGCTGCTCAGGAAAAGCTAACCCTTCCACCCACCACTTCTTTCTATCCATCAGCCAAGGCTTCAAAATGTGAGCGGTTGGCCTGCTGCAGGAGGTGTTTTTGTGTTAGTCCACATTTCCACTAGTGTTCTCCTAACCCGCACTTCTAGCTGCGACCTCTGCTGAATCACACAGGGGTTGTGATGCTGACTGAAGGCTTGGGATTCAAACAGCACCTGTGACCTAAGGCTCATTTTTGAATACACGATTTCAAAGATGAAAACCTTACTCATGAACAGAAATCCTCTGTGTTGCAATAGCTTCTCCCTTTAAGAATAACTTTACACCTTCACAAGCCCCATCTTTTCCATCTTCCCATGTGAAGAACAGCAGCATTGAAGTACAGACAACTCCTAACCCTGTCCATTCTCTTGCAAGCCAGTAACAGAGGCTGTAAGAGAAAGGAATCTTCCGAGCAGGCTGCACACCTGTGACTGTATAACATTTTAGCCCTATGAGCTAAGACAGTTGCACTCAAAAGGTAATGTAGGCTCATGCTTCAGGGCATCAGCTACCCTATTGCATTTCTACAGAAACTTGCCAGAATTTCAAAGTGCTTTTACAAGCAACATCATCTCTCCTGTTTTAGAGATGGGCAAACAAGTCCAGGAGACATGCAAGGACCTTGCCCAAACAGCGAAATACTGTGTTAGGTGCAAGCCACATGAAAGAACTGGGTCTCCTGGCCTCAGGTCTTCAGTCGTCTCACCAAGCACTAGGTGTCCACAGGCACTGATAAGGGATACCCCGATATCCTCCTGCTACAATACACTTTCCTGGCTGTGAAGGAGCTTCATCATCTTTGAGGCCCTGCCTATGGACTAGCACGGTTAGCTAAGTATTGAACGGACCAATGGTTTGGATCCAGTGTGGCAAATGCCATTTTTCTATGGAGTGCAACCTAATTTTGAACTAGTGTTTGTGGCAAGCTAAGCAGTAAGAAAACTTCATTTCACTGCTCTATCAATCACTTCAACCTTGACCTCACAGGATCACTCAGTGAAAGAGATAGAGGGGTAATTTAAGCCCTGTTTTATGCAGGGCAGAGGGCTTAGAAAGCAATCCTACCTCCCTGTTAAGACTCATTTTATTTGCCTGAAATGCTTCCCCAAGTGCCCTGAACGCTGGCTGCCTACATTCTCCACATATGTACGTGGGCAGAGCACACATCCTGCCCCGATATGCCCCAACCCCAGAGCCGAAGGCAGAAGGATTATAGTTTGTGTACCCCGCAACACATAATGGGATGCAATGAAATCAAACCCCAGGTGCCAGACTCCTAATGTGTCGAACAAGATTCGGATGGCATCACGTCATACTACTGCTAAGAGGCCACATTTCATCGTGAAGCAAGATGATGTGTAAGGCCTTAGTACAGCACAGTTTCCCATCGCCAGAATTCACCTTCCGTCCAGCACTGCTCAGGGAGAAGACGGCACTGGCTGGGCAGTGGGGTGGTTAAGGGAGGGAGAGTGTGCAGGGAGGCTTTATGAGGCTGCACGGGTAGAAATGGAGACCCACCCATCACACTATGCTTCTTTGTAAGTCTCTCTCGTTGTAACCCTTGTGCTCAAGTGAACGGCTGTTTTCCAAATTGAGATTCCACAAAAGTAATGAAAGCAAATTAGAAAGGCACAGTACTTACTTTAAAACAGCACCTCGGAGCGCCTCCCTCTCTTTGGCTTCACCTGGCTCTTCCCCAGTGCAAGGGATAACGTCTGCCTCTGTGTACCTGAGCACAAGGGGTTAAGGAACATACAGCCTTGCTGCAGACAGTGGAAAGGCTTTTGAGAGGGTTGGGACACTATCTGGGATACAGAACAAATTAATTCCAACTGGGAACACCTCAAAAGAAGAGGGGCTGGTATCCATGGAGGGGCTTGCTTTTAAATCCCGGATTAAAGTTTTGGTTTAGGTGGAAAGAAACAGTAAAGTCTTTTGACAGCAGCATGACGCCACAGCCTCTTAGAAGGGGAAAACCAGTTCCTCAACCTCTGCAAGCCTAACTTGCACAATTCCACTATTTCTGTTTGAGGTACAGAGATCATTTACCAGCTAAGGGTTGGGGCTTCAGTCTTAAAGGCCGGTACAGATTTCAATTAAATTCTATAGCTATACATTCCCCCTCATCACAGCTAAGGCAATGTCTGCCTAATACCCTTGCAGGAATTCTTCCTTGATGGCTGTACAGCTGCTACAGGGCAGAAGTCCGCCCATGTCTCTCCCAGAGCTTAGTCCAAAGAGCCTGGTTCCCAGATGGAGAAGTTCCCAAAAACTGCCCTTAATGATAGTTCTGCCCATGACTGTCTAACGAAAGGAAAAAATTCAGTCTCTCAGAGTGGCAGGTGAATTGTGGTTGAAATGTTTACTGCACAAACCCCCTGAAAACAAAGGGGTGTCTTGTGGAAAATAAACTCAATTCCTACCCATGAAGCAGGAAAAGCTATCCATACGGAAGAAACCTGGATAGAGACAAGAGATTGCTTATGAAACAGAACAGAGAAACGCTAACTTTGCTCTCCTGCAATGTCTCCTACAGATTTCACCAACCAGGTCTGAAGTAGTGCTGCATCATCAAAAGGATCTCAAAGGCAGCAGCTGGGAATCCCTCCTAGTTCAAACAACATGGGAACTGGGGAAGGCGGTGCCATTTCCAGTAGGGCTGGACACAGATTATCCACCACTACCCAGAGCAGTGCTGTTTGAAAGCTAGCTGAAGATGCAACTCCAGGTTCCCTCTCAATAAGAGCCTTTCAAAAACGATACTGTGGTTTCCCGTATTCAAGTGTGTCGTCTCCATCCACATCCAGGTCAGCGTCGCTGTCTGGATTCTCCTTGCCACTGCACATGATAAACCCAGAACCTGGAAGAAAATAAAACACGTGGATGAGCATTTGAACTGGAGATGAAGTGTAGGAGATCTCCTAACGATGGTGCAACAGCACCAGTCTGCAGGCTGTCCTTTACTCTTAACAGCCTCACAAAAGGTACCATCTCCAAAGACTGCACAAGAACAATTTTCAGAAGACGGCACAGAAAACACTCACAGAAATGCTCTAACTTCCTGGATTTTATGCTCTAAAACGCCCCTTAACACTGAAAACGAAACATTCTTGACCTTTTGCTCTCCACATGAGTTATTTTAAAGTTGAAGGCACTGGAAGGGTCTCTCAAAGACAGAAAAAAAAGGAAGCAAAAGAAAGACGACTGATTTTTCATAGAAAATAGGGAAGACTGATTTTTCATAGAAGTGGTTAACACAAAAACTACACTACTAGCAGTTAAGAGAAGGCCACAGGGACATTCTGAATTAGTCCTTAATTCAGATGCAGAGGGCAGACAGAGGCTAAAACACAATTAGAAATACCTTTTTCTTTTTTAAATGCATTTAGTCATGGCTTATGGCTTACAATATAAAGCATTTAAGAATAGCAAACCTGTTTTGGGGTGGGGTGGGGTGGGGAGAGAAATCAGACTCCACAGTCATTAATAGCCCCTTACAAGAACTTCTTCTGTGAACAAATTCCAGTGCAAGTCAACAAGAGTCCTGCACTTCCAACAAGAGTGGATCAGGCAAGAGCCCAGTCCCAACTCCAGCAGGAAGCAAGTGTACACAGTTCCACCCGAGACTGAACTGTCTAACAATTGCCCCCTTCTAACAATATATACATTTATTTTGGTTCTCAAGCATTTCGTTGACTGTGTTATTGCTGATTGTAACCAGGCTTCTTTTAATTAAATCTGCGTGCACCTACAAAGATGAACCTTCACGTGGTATTTGCTGCCTAAGGTGTCTTAATAGAAGAGAAACTAAGGAAGACATATATTTACTCTTTATGAGATCTAACACTGGATATGCTCTCTCCCATGAGATTGGAAATTAAGCAAAGATCTCCTGAATCCTAGGGTGGTGCAAGGTCCTCATTTGCGTTCAATTCTGCAGCGGATCTAAGCTGTTTGGCGACATAAGCTACACAGACAGAAATTTGCTCACTCTGGCTGCCTCCTGTATGCTCCTTCACTTAGCATCCCACTGTCTAGACAGCAGACCTGGACACCTGGCTCACAGACAGAGGGTACCTGCTGGAGCCTGAAGGATCTGGCACATCCAGATGGCTGGTGACCGAAGTCTGTGGCTAGACCAGTGAGCACATCCCACCTGCAAACACTGAAAGAGTAAGGTAGACGTAGCCTTGGCTTTGCACAAATGCCCCCAAAGTGGTACGTTTCCACACTGTGAACGTGGGTCTAAGTGCAGAAGGCAGGCTAAAATTCATGTAGAAGCACTGAATATAAGGCGCAAGTCTGAAGAACGAGGACATTCCCAAGCATTAGGGTAGCCCTTTTAGTGCTACAGATGTCTGAGTCTGTTCACCCCACTGGGCTCTCACCAGCACACTTACACAAGCTCATGCCATCAGCAGCAAACTTGCACTTTCCCAGCCCGGAAGAGTGAGCTATATTTCTAACAGTCTGCATCTGTGCAGAGAGCAGGGCAAGACGAAGGTCTCATTTCCAAGGACACCATGCAGACACAGTTCTTTACTGTTGCTCTCTAGGAACGGAAGCTCTCGCTGATTCATTAAGCCCCCAATAAAATTTGTTTATATGGATTTGATATTTCTCTTCCCTGAATATAAAGAAGGTCCTTAACGAGTGATAACCGTAGCATGACAATGATTTTAAGACTAACCTTTCCCTAGAAGCATAAACTACCTTTTACTTCAAAGTAATTACCAGCCTTGATTTTCAGCAGAGGTAACAAAACTAGCATCGACAATGCAGCATCCGCTGTCTGCGCCAGATACTGCAGGAGCCATGCTCGTAGGTCAGCTCTGCAGTGTCACTGGGGCAGCCCTCTTCCAGCAGACCCCTTATAAAGTGCTTCACATACTGGCTGCAAGCTGCCAGCCAACACATGTCACAAGCTGCCTTCTCTTGCTGCAATGACTCATCTAGTAAATCTTGAATCCTTCAGTTCACCACAATGTTTGGGAGAAGATTTAGAGGAGTAAGAGAGACCTGTCAAAGAAGCTGGATAGTCTTTCAAAGCTGCCTTAGAAGTCACAGTGGGCGATGGGGTGGTAATTTACAGGTATGGCATTTAACCTGCAGTAACACCATCCCCTGCACCTGGCATTACTTTAGGCCATCACTTCTCAAAGGCCATAAACTTTGGACACACAGGTCTTCATTTTTCTTGTAGCTGTGGGAAACACAAATCATACAAAGCTGGAGCTGTGACTTGGCCAGTCCTGGAGGTGATCTGAATGTTAGCCAGACAATGAATACTTGGAGCAAGTGCCTTGCGGTGGGGGAAAGGTGTCCAAAACAGTGAAGGTGAGTGGGACCACTCCCTGTGTCCCTCTCTCTGAAAGGATGCCAAGCACACAGCAAACACGCACCTTTGCATCAATTTTGTTTCCAAGTGACTCAAGACAACTAGTGGTTTATGGTTAGAGCTTAAGAAAAGAAGATCTGCTTACTGCGTCACAATTTACAAATATTAAGGCACCTTGACTTCAGAATCCTGGTGTCCTTGCTCTCAAAACCTTTGTACTTAAAGAAAATCCCTTTAAAGTCTGTAAGGAAAATACTCCGCAGACTTTTTGCTAAATCTAGCTCTATAACAGGAACCACTGCATTCCCAACAGAGCCTGCTATCCCCACTACACAGGGAGGGTACAGAGGAAGGGTTTGGACACTATGTGTCATGGTGACAGATACACACTGGGATGATCTGATACAGCATTTCAGTCAGAGAGGAGGGCATAGCAGAGAAGTTCATAGGTTAAGATGAGGGGCAGGAGAAGGGCCAATTTTCTTTTCTGATCAAACAAAGACTCCCAGGCCAGGGCCTGAAGGAAGCTGCAATAAGGTGATCCAACTCTCAGATTTTCACCAAATACTTCTGGGGTGGGATTTTGTTGTTTTTGTTTTTTTTTTTGAACATGATCAAGTACAATGCATTGCAACACGGTAAAAAAAACTGATTCAGAAACTGTATGCTAAACAAAGTAACCTCCACGTATCCAGAAAAAGACCCTGAATATAAGCTGTGCTATCAGTTTTAGGACTTCAGAGGCTGCTTTAAAAAAAAGGAAAAACAAAATCCACAAAACATGTTTCCGATGTGAATGAAAAGGTCTGTAAATCCCAGTAGTGCCACTGCATGCAAGAGAACACCAAACAACAGGATGTAAAGCTTGGTCCAGCATCACCTGTGGAGCGAATGGCCTGCCACCAGCATCCTAACACCCCTTCATCTGCAGCACGGATGGATTTTGAGGCCAGTTCCGGCGGGCTGGGGTTTGGTGCCACAATTTCGACCTGACCCTCCTTGTCTAACTTCCTAGGGTTGCTTCCATGCACAAAGCCAGTAAAAACACCCATGCAGCTGTTCAAATATTTGACGTCTGAACTGCTTGACATTATTCATTCATCTCAGGCTCATTCAAACCAGATTTCTGGACAAGTGCTGTTATAAATGGATTAAGAGGACCACTAAATGCAAGGAAGGCCTGGTAGGATCACACCTGCTTCTCGCTAACTCAGCCCAAGTGTAAAGAGTGCTCACAACTTCCAGCTCCTGCCAGCAGCATACGCTCCATCCAGGAGCAAGGAAAATGTGAAATGGAGCACAGAGGGCATCAAGCAGAATAAAATGGCCTTTGCAATGGCATTGATTTGGACCCACTAGAGGAGAATGGGAGCTTCCAGAAGACCCCCTACCACTGCTCTCGGGTGATTTGTTATTCAATAGCGTGCACTGGGAATGGGGAAGGGTTCCTTCAGCAAGGCTCGGCTTCTGAAGGTCGTGCAGTAATTCACAGCCATCAGCAATGCTGCCTAGAGCAGATCTCTAAAGCCAACACCACTACCCAGAGGTCAATGCTGAGGACCAGAACTTTATCCCAACGTGTTAATAAAGTGAAATCCGACAAGTGAATGTTAAGTTGTGAGTTTGACCTAGAAATACACAAGAGACACGATCCTGAGGCTGTTATTCACAGGAGCAGCTGCGAATCTTACAAGGAGAGTCACCTAAGGCCTGAAGAACGTAATTCCACATGTGAATCTGAAAACACTGCTTTCAGATGAAAAAAGAACAAACCAAAAATGCAGACCCTCCTATATCTTTCCCTTTCCTTGTCAAAGAATTTTTTGCTCTTGCTGTGCACTTGGTGGGAGGCAACCACTTGTCATACGCTGCCAGCCCCGATACAATTAGTCTCCCGATGCTAAAGCAGCACAATCCTCTGACAGTCTTAATCCCAGCTGCCTCCTTAAGGTCCAGTCAAACAGGAGTGAGCAGGCAGGTCAGATGCCTGGGCCATTAAGCAGAGAAAAAACAAAGTTACAGCTCTGTCTCCAATCCCCATTGCTCTTGTAGCCAGGTGCTCTGACAAGCAATTCCAGCACTGGTATTGAGTGGCACCTCTATAAACCCTGTGACAGTTTGGGAGACAAACTCCCCCATCAATCAGAATGTACCTATCAAGATCACTTACCTAGAGTGCCCACCACCCTCCAGCACTGTGTACACAGCTTTGCTTGGGCTGGCCTTGGAGCAGTCTGCCTGAGCACCAATTCAAGGTAGTTTCTGAAAAATTTAGGTACTTTATACAAGCAACAGTGTTTCTGAAATACTGATGCAGAGCTCTGAAAAGCAGAAAAAATTTGCATGCCTCTTCGCTGCTGCCAGGCTGCAGGCACTGGCAGGCTACAGGGATCAGCTGAGCTTGGAGACTGGAAAACACTTCCCACTTTCTTCCTTGTGCCTATTGTTAATGGCTGGAGATAAATTTCATCAGAAATCCTTTTCTTTCCCTTTCCGCAAGTTTTCATAGCACTTTGGTTTCT